ACCTATTTACATATTATATATATACACTCAGGAGGTAGTTTTATATCGGTGTTGGAAGGGAACGTATCACCCACCTGTCATTATCATCACAACCAGTTTGCTTCTCCACACATTTCGGAGACATGTCCATCATGACACACTCCTCACCCTCTCCACAGTGGTATCCATCACAGGTACTACACACTGCTGAAGCGTACGCTTCTGAATCCTCGATGAGCTGACAGACGGAAGTGACCTCACACCAGTTAGCTGCACAATCCGGAAGAGCACAATCTTTGTTGTTTGGAATCACTCCCTTATCATCAACATTCTTACCATTTAACCGTCCGGTCCATGGGCTATGTGCATTGCACAGAATCTGTTCGTAACCAGCGGGACACTGAAGACTTGGACTGTGTCCTCTGGAGTGGAGGTTCCGGTATTTGGGGAGGTTTGGACCGTTGCAGGGGTCGGCAACCTGTTCAAACTTTGAACACAACGCTCTAGCGACCGCACCAGAACCTCCGCCATTAACTGCAACACACACTCTACCGTCATCAGGCTTCACAAATACCCCGTCACATTCATCATGTACTTTACCGGATTGGGCTTCACAGTGCGTTACAACGTAACCTGTCGGACAGATGGCTACAGACTGTGCATCGTTTGCATTCGGGGATATTTCGCCGATGACTTCTTTATCGGTTGTCTCTGAAAGAAAAGCATGTCAGACTCGTCAGTATATCAAGCAGTTTTTGTCTTAATTATTAGTATCATCAATACATTCTTTATTTAAAAAAAGCCGTAGTGATGTGTAATTATAAATATGCACTGCAGTGTAAATACTGCAACTGGTAAAGGTGAATGCAAATGTACTAGTTTTACTTTTTTAATTAAAAACCAAAATTGGGTAGAGTGGACCGTCGCCAGTGTTTGCTTTTTTCCAAACAAAAGGAAAGAAATAGTAAAGAGGGTTTAATGGCCGACAGTCGTGCTTGCCACCACTGTGACTAAGAATGGTTACTCCACAGTTATTGGACGATAAGATACGATCAGTAATGTCAGAGCTTGAAAACAGTATAATTTGTGGGTGTGTTACTGCCTTATCCTAGATTTTTATTTCTGTGTTAAGTAATTTAAAAGGTTCAGTACGAGAGAAGATTTGTTATTCGACTTACGTGATGGTGGCATACTAGATGTTGATACAACGCTCATCAGCAGTAGAAATACACCAAATATATGGTTTCTTGTCATCTCTAAAATTGTTAAGTAATTAAATCCAAAAAGCTGCATGTTTCAACTGAATCTGAAAACCGAAATATTTTCGACACTATTTTGTAGCAAATGATTTAAATACAGCTATGTAAGTGTCACGGAACAGAAATACTACGTCAATTGGAGTATTGAAATGATTAAGGGGGGAAGCCAAGGGGTATTTTGGGGTATTATGGGGAATCCCTTAATGGATTTTGGAAATCTCCCACGATAAAGTCTCCCATAATAAAATCCCCCATAATACCCCAAAATTATTGTAAATATTCATTGTGGTCAACAGTTTATGTTTTCACAAACCAGTTTCAGTCCATTGTTCAGTGCATGTTTTAGTTGAAATTGTAGTCTGCCTAGATTATAAATTAAACCAGAAAAAAAGCATATTTTTTAGACTCAACAGCCAAATTTCTGAACTGTTGCTCTGCTCATGCTTATGACTTAAAGTTATTAAATTATTATATTCCTCTTTATACTCATGGATCTGGTAACATTCCCGTCTAAAACATTTTGGCCCCGAGGTCGGGTTTGAGACTTGGAATACGTCAAGGAACCGATCGGAAACAAATTTGACTTGGGTAGAAATTTTGCGCTCTGGTGATAATAGCAACTACAGCACTTTCTAATACAAGAGAATATCTCGGCTTTTGGAAAGCTAAATGCTCAACTTGGACATTAAAATTTTTTAAATGATCACATTGAGTTAGGTAGAGCATAATGACATAGTTCTCAGTCATTAGTCATTAGAGTTAAGAGCTTAAATTGGGCAGTAAAATGATCATACCGAGTGGCTGAGTGGGGTAAAGCCTAGTTTCACCGTCCTCAGCTCAGGCATAAGGCAGTTAATAGACCAAAAGCTTGCAAATTTTGCCATCTAGAAAAGCCAGTTTTTGTCAAAGCAACAGCTCCAAGTTGGCGTTTTCAATATTGCAACGCGAGTAATCTCGCTGCTAGGGTAGGAGAGGATATGACATTGTTATGCTAATCCTCTGGGGCTCTTAAAAGAATAGAAACCGTAGAGAGGACAGTCAGCAATATTCCTTGCCTTCAAACCTTTTGTTTCACACATTTCCTGGCCTCACGAGTTCTTGGATTAGCCTAGAACACCAGATAATTTTGAACAATTTGGTGACTCGTATACGGTTCTTACTTCTTACAACCACGCTGAATATTTAACGCTCATTTTAGTGGGTCTATCTGGCGTCCTGGTTGATTTAATCGATCGCTTTTACCTTTAAAACTATTGTTTCATAGCGGATCGATATACACGCTAAAAACAACGATAGAGGAGCGGTTTACAGTTTACACGCTTACAGGTTACCACGTCTCGTGTAACGTCAGGACTCTAACACGCTCACATGCTATCACGTCTGCTTCTAACCTATGTTAAGGAATGGACTAGTCATCTCTACAACAAAGGAAAAGCTCTAATAGCCTCTACTAACCTTAGAACCGCAACATAATCGCTCTACCCACTGGCACATAACACCTTCCACAGGAAACTAACACGCTCACAGGCTCCCACGTCTCGTGTAACCCCAGGATTTGATTTTGGATTGGACACTAAAAACAACCGTAGACGAGTTGTCTACACGCTCACAGGCTACCACGTCTCTTGTAGCCCCAGGATTTGGTTTTGTTATCTCAAAACAACGATAAAAGAGCTGCAGTCTACAGTGACGTTACAGCAAGGAGCTTGCGGAGAGTTTCTGGAGGATTGAAGGGGAGGAGAACGTTAAGTGCGAGCAAAATCAGCTCTTAGATCTACCTTCCACTTCTTCCAGCTCTACCCAGCTAACACCCGCATCATCTAATTATAGATTTTCAGCAGCCTCAAGGGAACCTCTGCTCTATCCAACTACCACCAGCAATCAGCACACAGCACCCTCAAACTGAAGCTGTTACAGGGTGGGCCATAAAACACTACCCATCCTTATCTCTTAAAATTGTTACAGCTCGCTGAGATCTTAATAATCATTTTATTTCAGAATGGAAAAGCGCCATAACTTACGTTCTGATTAACATTTTGCTTCAAATTTTTAGAGAATGTCAATCATAATTAGACACAACTTCGTGCCAAGTTTTGTGTGAGTCTGAGCTTGTCTGACAAAGTTAGCTCCTGAGCGTGCTAGCTTTAATTTCTCACCCAGAAATGTTTACATTGGTTAATAAGAACCACCAAAAAAATCCTGGGTAAAAAAATTAAAAAACCACCGATTTATTTATGTTTTACCAATTCTATTCATCGCACATTCCATGTGAGAAGAACGATATAAACAATCAGGAAGGATCATCTGTGATAGTCCTTATCAGTTAAAATATAGAGAGAATGGAATGTGCGATGGATCGTGGTGAATAGAATTGATAAAACGTGAATAAATCGCTGGTTTTTTGATTATTTTACCCAGGATTTTTTTTGGTGGTTTCTTTTAACCAATGTAAACAGTTCTGGGTGAGAAATTCAAGCTAGCTCGCTCAGGGGCTAAATTGGTCAAATAAGCTCAGCGAAGCTCGCAATCACACAAAACTTGCCACAAAGGTTTAGCTACTTGTTATTAACATTCTGTGAAATTTAGAAGCAAAAATATTTATCAGAACAAAAGTTATGCCACTTTTTGTTTTTAAAATAATTATCAAGATCTCAGCGAGCTGTAACAATTTTAAGAGATAAAGATGGGTAGTGTTTTATGGCCCACCCTGTATATATGACCATTTCATTATCTTTGTTACATTGAATAATTTGCATCGCTAAACTTTCTCATGTCTTATCTGAATATGGCAAATGAAAACACTGTTTAAGAATCTAGATATCATCTAGTAGAATAACGAACAAAAGATCTAAAAATAATTACATATCAATAAATTTATAGAATTACTGTAAATATGCTGATAAGACATCATAACTGTACTAGCTGTTGGTGAGCTAATAGCTAGTAGTCACTCAGTGACATCAAGATAATGATTATAGACCACACATTCATACTAGAATGCTGTACACATTCAATATTCAAGTTTTTATGATGCATAATTAATGTTAACATTTCTACGATATAATAAATAATTTAAAACTATTCTCAAAAATGAAAAGTAAAATAAGACTACATATAAGTTTACTTCTTGAACTCTATACATTCAAATGCGCTAGAGTCCTACTAAAAAGGTCTGATCATCAAAAAAGTTCATCAGCTTTTCTTTATAGTTTATTCGGTGCCAGTGTCATCTGATCTTGAGTTCCTCCATCTTCCCGATTCTTTATCTAAAAAGTTGTACGATCGTTATACCATGGGTTTTTCCGAGAGGAATGTTGATCATATAATAAATGTTAAATCAGTATCATTTTCTATTCTGTCATTAATATTGAACCTTTTTTATGTTAATGAATTTATTCCTGTTGCCACGTTTTCCAACAGCTTTTATACCGTCTTCAACTGCTACCAAACGTCTGTTACACAGTACCTGACACTACTGCCACAAGCAGTGGAGGGATGATATCTCTTCACTGCTTCTGTCAGCTGGTTAGTTGAAATAATACTGGTAATCGTCCCACCGATTTCCAGATAATTTATTAAACTAATAAATAATTATTTATTTAGTCTTTATACCCTCAAATAACTGGCACATATTGTGTAGTCCCCTAGATACAAACATGGTCAGTATTTGAGGGTAATATGACTGTCTGATATTATAATATTTGGAAAAATCAATCCACTTTTTACTTTAAATATGCTTTACCTTAGTAAAGGATAGATAAATTAGAAATACTTACTGAAGCAATTTTCAAACCCGTAACCAGACTTGTGGCCCACTGGACAATTTTCACAAATATTGTTGTCTGAGTCATGATATGTCTTTGGTGGACAGATCTTACAGAATTCTACTTCTGTGATGATATTGTCATATTCATCTTCCGGTTCTGTACACTTAACATTTCCACCTTCGCACTAATGGGGAATTTAAGGAATAAGGGGGTAACAGCCAATTATTCATCCAAATGTTTAAAATATCTAAGAAAAAGCAGCGGATATTAAAGTGACGCAATTTCGATCCTCTGCAGAGTGCATTGATTTATTGACATGATGATCATGATTGCTCTGATCTTAAAGAGTTTAAGTAAACTCAAGATACAAGAGGTGACGTACCTTCCATTCGGTACATCTTGCTGCTTGTGTCTTTATAAAACCTGTTTCACACTTGTAACTGATTACACCAGTTTCTCCGTCAGACCACATATCTAGGGTAATTTAATTTGCTATGAACAGCAGTGATTGTTTTATTTGTATTTATTGTGTATTTTCATCAAAGAAAAAAATTCAACCGACATAATCTTTTTCGAAGTTCTATTCTCACCTTTAGTTACATTAAACTCCAAGTCTTGTGGCAATTGTTCTCTTACTTTGCAACCTGAAGGGACACATATTGATTTACTAGCACTCTTCGTCGTTTATATTTATCGGGTGGTTTTGTTATCACGATAACGATTTTCTACTTGACTAGTGCAACTGAAGAAGTGGAAATTAATCAAATAGTTGTTGAGATTGTGACAAAAATTTGCTAATCAGCTGTTGTAGTTGTGTTTTCTGTGATAACTCACTATTTTCATCAAAACATTCAAACGACATATCGTTGAATTCCATATGACCACTTGCACCACAAGTTGCAGTAGTACTAGTAGTTGTGTCAGAAGATGGGATGTAACCAGCAGCACAGGTGACCGTCACAGTCCCTCCTTCTTTCATAGTGTGACCAGTGGTTTCAAAATTGAATTGAGAGTACTGGTCCTTTTGACATGCTGAAATTGGTACAGTTAGCTACTAGCTGGAGATTTAAGTTACATCTGCAAATGATGTCTTGACTGCTATGTTTACTTTCTGGCTCATGATTAGATAGCTCAGTCCGCAGAGATTATTAGGAAATAAAACCATGCTAAATTATTTTTTACCTAATTTGGACTTGATCCTTACCGTATACAGTCATCATTACATATGTGTCAGAATATGGAGAATCGGGAAACTGTCCAGATGTGACTCTGCAAGTGAAAGTTCTATCTTCTGTAACAGCAGCTCCCGTAACCTCAAGGGTAGCTGTCTGACTGTCGCCATCCAATGTCCCAGATTTTGGAGTGTAGCTGTTATCTTCTCCATGAGCCCCCACCCATTCCACTTTTACTAAGCTTGTTATACCTTTCATCACACAGGAAATAGTTGCGTCTGTACCGGATTTTACTTCAGCGTCGTTTACCGCAACATCTGAATGAAAAGAAGAAATATTTAATTAGAAAATGTTTTTGCCTGTAAAATTATCATTCAAGTAAACTAGCTGTAAGAATAATGATTAATGATAGATCCTTGATGGAGTTGATCTTCACGATTTATTATCATATAGCGTGATAATTAATAAAAGAAGATATATAAAATAATTTTAAAACCTCGACTGTTGTACCAGCTTGAAAACCCACCGTAAATATTGAGTTGGACCTTTCTATTCTCGTACTGTAAAGATCCAGGGAAGAGAACTCGACAAATGAAAGTTTTATCTTCGATAACATCAGCTCCCTTTACTTCTAGCGTAGCCGTCTGACTGTTGTTTTCTATTGTTCCAGGGTTTTGAGTGTAGTTAGAGTCAGCTGAAATAACAGTACCTGATTCCAGCCATTCCACAGTTATTGGACTTGTAATTCCTGTTATCACACAGGAGATAGTGGTGGCTGTACCGGATTTTACTTCAGCACTGTGAGCTCTCATCTCTAGAATATAGATTAGTTTCGTTAGAAATATGTTTTAATACTTTAACCTCATTTGATTGGCGTTACAATAGTAATTAGTAATTAGAATTATTATAATATTGAACTATAATTTGGTATCTGTGTAACGGTCTAAAGTATGATAGTAAGTACTTTAAGTAGTAGTTGATTTATAAATCAAAATGCACTACATAGTACATACCGTATGTCGTCACGAACGTTAAAACGTATGTAACATACGTTTTAACGTTCGTGACATCGTCAGGTGAACTATCATGAAACCACTGAATTACATAAACAGACTCACGGACAAGGATACAAGAGCCGGAGCTGAAAAAGTAGCCCTTCCCGCATTTGCACTCATAATCATCATTACCAATTGGTACACACACACCCTTATCTCCACACCTGATATAAGAGAGCAATTTTTAGAGCAATCTTCGCTCTGGAGAGGATTCAGGATATTCAACACTTGTAGTTTAAAACCTATTTACATATTATAACATATACCCTGTGCCTGGAGGTAGTTTTATATCGGTGTTTGAAGGGAATGGAATGTATTACCCACCTGTCAGTATCATCGCAACCAGTTTGCTTCTCCACACACGTCGGAGACATGTCCATCATGACACACTCCTCACCCTCTCCACAGTGGTATCCATCACAGGTACTACACACTGCTGAAGCGTACGCTTCTGAATCCTCGATGAGCTGACAGACGGAAGTGACCTCACACCATTGGTCACCTCCACAGTCCGGAAGAGCACAATCTTCGTCGTTTGGAATCACTCCCTTATCATCAACATTCTGACCACTTAACCTTCCCCTCCATGGGCTATGTGCATTGCACAGAATCTGTCCGTAACCAGCGGGACACTGAAGACTTGGACTGTGTCCTCTGGAGTGGAGGTTCCGGTATTTGGGTAGGTTAGGACCGTTGCAGGGGTCGGCAATCTGTTCCAACTGTGAACACACCGCTCTAGCGACCGCACCAGAACCTCTATCACCATTAACTGCAACACACACTCTACCGTCATCAGGCTTCACAAATACCCCGTCACACTCATCATGTACTTTACCGGATTGGGCTTCACAGTGCGTTACAACGTAACCTGTCGGACAGATGGCTACAGACTGTGCATCGTCTGATTTCGAGGATTTGTCGCCGATGACTTCGTTAGCGGTTGTTTCTGAAAGAAAAGCATGTCAGTATATCAAGCAATTTTGTCTTACTTATCTGTATCATCAATACGTTCTTTATAAAAGAGCCGTAGTGATGTGTAATTATAAATATGCACTGCAGTGTAAACACTGCAACTGGTAAAGGCGAATGCAAATGTACTAGTTTTATTTTTTAATTAAAAACCAAAATTGGGTAGAGTGGACCGTCGCCAGTGTTTGATTTTTCCAAACAAAAGGAAAGAAATAGTAAAGGGGTATAATATTAAAGGGGTATAATGGCCGACAGTCGTGCTTGCCGCCACTGTGACTAAGAATCATTACTCAACAGTTATTGGACGATAAGATACAATCTGTGTTGTCACAACTCAGAAACTATACTGTCCCAAAAGTTACCTGTTTGATATCTGTATTGCACTGATACTTTATCCTTTCGGTTTGGGTTATGTCCGACAAATTTTATTCCTCTCAGCATCGTCCTCATTAAACATTTTGCATTCAAGTCGTTATCTTCATACACCCAGGTGACCTCCAAAACACCATCGAACCAGACTTGCAGCTGAGTGGCAGTCTTCAGGAATGTCAGAACACCAGCTCGTTGGAGAAATCCTTCTGTTCCTTTTAATTCGTAGCCATTGTTGCAGCGTCCACAATTTATTGCGCGTGCAGTGAATGTAAACCAACCTGGTCCTCTCATCATCCATCGGATATCGTTATCATCATCTATCTTCTTGTCAGTCTTGATCTGGAACCTTTCGCCCTCCACCAGCTCGATTACATAGTTGCTCCTCTCCTCAGTAAATGGGAGCCAATTACTGTACTGGGTATCTGCTGAATATTGAAATATAACGCAGGATTTTCAAAAACAGCTCGAAATATATGAAATGGAGGCGAGTGATGATTGGTCATTGGTGATTATTGAAGGGTGTTTTGTTGTTCGAATCGATCACTTGTGAGTGTGTAACTGCTACATGTTGGATTTCATATCAGTGTAAAATAATATAAAGGGTACAGTTAAAGAACTTGTAGATTTGTTTCGTAACTTACTTGGAACTGCTGGCACAGATGTTGACACAATGCTCATCAGCATGAGCAGTAGAAAAACACCAAACATATGATTTCTTCTCATGTCTAAGAATGTGAAGTAATTAATTCCAAAAAATCGCCTGTTTCAACTGAATCTGACAACCGAAATCTTTTCAACGCTTTTATGTTGCAAATGATTTAAGACCGATAAAATAGATGAATAAAACACAGCTATGTAACGAAACAGAAATATAACGTCCATTGGAGCATTCTAAACGTTATTAGGCTACTAGAAACACAGGACCGTCAAAAAACATTCCAGAGAATAAAGGAGGACAAAGATGAGACAGTAATATAATGTGTTCAACCTGTAGAAATCTATTGAAAAACAAAGCTGTGAATTTCATATGCGGGCTACAAAATAAGCTACATTACAGTTACAGAAGGTTTCCTATGAGGCCTAACTTGACAATGTGTTCTACCGTTTTGATGGGGTTTTGATGTTGAGATAAATGACAACTGTTTGCTAATGCTATCTTTCCAGGACGAGATCAAGTCTCCGTGATGAATAAACAGTACATCTTGAAAAATACATAGCAAAGAAACGCTGCTGGGTTAGTAAACAGTTCTTGATCAAATTTTTCCGAATGACATTACTGTGAACATTGAACAGTGGATAATGAACAATGTATTCAATTCCTGCAACTACTTTGTATACCTGAAGTGGTATTTAGATTATAACATAATTGTCATTCTATTGAGAAGTGTTAAACGGAATAATAGTACAGTGAGACGTTACAATTCCAACTATTACCATACTTACAATCATGAGATCGTAATACAACAACAAGACAACAATAACCGTCCCCCCCCCCCCCCCCCCCCCCCGCAATGACAACAATAATACTCAATATCATATTCTTGATAAACCTGACAAGTGGCTATTGACTACGCGGTGTGTGCTACGTTATGTAACTCATGAGATCAGTATCCTATCCCGTGTACAATGTACGTCACAACTCACAAGGAACGCTGTTTCTACTCAACTCTCGTTTTCTAAAATTCTCAACCTTCTTTCGCAATATTTCGTCAACACTATTTAGAAAGCATACTTTACAAACAAACCTGCTGGGTGGGACTAGGTGTCCTTATTTAACTCTACGCGCTCTAGAGATTGACTGAATACATAGTATCTTGTGTTGGTAACAGTTCGTCAAAAGTTCACGAGTGTTACATAGACTGAGTAAAGACTAAAAGTGGGCCTCAAAATAATCACTGAACTTGTTATACAAGTAACATGTCCACATACTGTATGTCACATATTGACTAGATAAAAACTTCTAATTGTCAACGAGATTTGGACACTTGAGCTTTCCGTTCCATTTTATCTGCTGAACAATATTTGACGAAAGTCGATTATCTCAAAATCCTGCTAAACGATTTTTTAATAACTTTCCGGATATTAAAATGGCTATAAGACTGATAATCTTTGCAAGTTCGGGCGAATTTCTATGGGTCAAATTTTAGATATCACTCCAAACACAGGAATATATCTCCGAATCAAATTTGAAGTGATATTTCAAATTTTTCTCGTAGTAAATAGTTTAAACTTGCACATAGTGACAGCTAAACACCCATCTTACTATCTGGAAAGTTTGAAGAAAATATTTTCTTCGATCTTGAAGGTGAAGATTCCTACTTCAGACTTCTAAACTTTTCAATAGATTTAGGAGTTATTTTCTTGTTTTTGTAGTGATATCTTAAATTTGGCACATACGAAGTCGCCCAAAAGTGAAAATATGATCAGTCTTATACTTATATCTAGGAAATCGAAGGAAATCGTATAGTAGGATCTTGAAAAAATTCTTCCATGTTATTGCCTAAAAACGCTTGATTTACATTTTACAGCGGAAGTCCTTCTGGCGGGAAGCCAATTTTATATGCGGATTTGTCGCGCGCGCTCACCAAATTGTATTAAAAGGACATTTTTTTAGCGTTTACTGTGACAGAAACTGAATTTGCGTTGTCGCGAATTTGTTTATTTTATATTAACTTTCATTTAATATCGACCATGATGAGTGATAACACATTTCAAATATCTGAGTTTAGGGTCAAATCAGCACAATAGTTGATTAAAACTCCTGAGGACAATTTTCTGCAAAACGCACTTTATAGTGACAGGACTATATAGTGACATGTCACTATAAAGTGATTGTCACTATATAGTCCTTTCACTATATAGTGCGGGAATCCTGCGAACATAAAACATAGTTTTCGATTGAAAATTTCCTCGTAAATTGCTTCCTTGATTTAAAACATACATTACGTGATGGTCCGTTGATCTCAAAGATAACTGATAATACTAACAATGATCAACGGGGGGCCGGGGGTCAGTACTCAGTTCACTAGACACTAGATAGTAGACTACACTTTACACAGAACAATTATTGTCCTAGCATAACAAATCCTGAATAAAACAGACAAATGATACACCGATCTGTTACTTTAATTTGGACTGTTTGAATTTATTTTCCTACTCTGCGGCAATGAAACGATCTATGTATATAGATATATAAATTGAGAAATTTAACATCAAATTCTGATAGAGTCCAATTTTTTAATGTTCATGCGTACCAAGGAACCTCTAATCAATGTAATAAAACAACAAATATTAATATAAAGAAAATAGCTTCACATTCCAAAAATCTATCCTGAAGCTTTTGTTCAGTTCGGACACCAAGTTTTGCAAGTTTTACAAAATTATATATCTACAATTTAGGTAATGTCAGATGATCGGTACTAAAATCAAAGCAGATCAGGGTCACCATATGACGTCCATGAGGCATGACTTCCCCGAACTATAATAATCACCATGCAAATCAAAGTCTAAAAAGTTAACACTGTTAACAGTCTGTACTGCTCCGTATGTTATGTTTCTGTAGTTAAGTAGTTACACTCATTACAGTGTTGGATAGCACGAGCATTGTATGTGCAAATAATCAGTTAACGGCCAGTTTTTCACTTAAATGATCTAATCCTGGAAACTGGTTTGAAGTGTACATCCTCCGTACTGGCCACTACTTTATTCTTAGGTTTAACCCTGGTGACTCGTATCTCGTGGAACTGCCAGACCTCGTCTGTTGCCTTGGTTACAAACATACACTCTACTTTACCGATGTGCTTTAGGTTGTGCAACAAAAACTCGTCCGCTTCTTCGACCACGAAATCATCCGAAGCTGGTTCTTCTTTTGTCGCATCATAGTCGTCTTCTGGAGCTGAATAGTATTCTTGAGCTTGTTTATCGATCGGAACTGAATCGTCTTCTGAAACTGAAGCTTCTCCTGGAGATGAAGCTTCTCCTGGAGCTGAAGCTTCTCCTGGATCTGAAGCTTCTGCTGGAGCTGTATCGTCTCCTTGATATGAATCTGAATCGCCCAGATCATGAGACACGTCTGTTTTATGACCATTAGTGTTGCCACTAAACACAATAGTCGCCTGTACATTATCTCCCCATTCCTCGTTGCCTGTTGTGATTTTCAGAGTGTAAATCTGTGGTCCCAGCTCGCAAGCCTCTTCGGACCAATCAAACCTCCTTCTCTCTGAAACACTGTCTCTCGGTGTCTTTGTCATGGAGATCTTATCCACCGTCAGATCAGTCCAGGATTCCTCGGGGAAAGTGAAACACTGGTACCTCTCCACATCAACCAGTGTCTCTACGTCTACTGTATCCTGAGTCACGTGGAAAAAATCCTCTTCTTCCTCGTCCAACAGATCTATCCGTACTGTGCCTCTGCAGGGGTTAATCTCTAGCAACAGATCACGTTTGGTGTAGTGTTCAGGCTCTTCTACGTCCTCCATTCTTCGGGGGTTTTAATAAGAGATTATATTATGTTTACTAACAAAAATAACAACAAAGATAAAACAACAAGACGGCTGATAGTAAGGTGAGATGATAAGTGACATGACTTATATTTATATATAGATACTAAGGGCCGTAGAAAGTATACACAGCCGAAATGATACTCGACGCTACCTATGTTATGATAGGAACAACTTTGAGATTGGTTGAGGACAGGGCGTTCGGACTTGCTATTAGATGGTGAGCCGCCAACACTTTGAGCCTACCTATCAGGTATTGTTTCTCGTATGTGCCTACTAACTTGTTAATAAAGAGGCTCAGAATTCAAGTTATCTCAATGAACAATATTGTACTACAAATACAATTATATAACAAAATCAGACAAATGATAATCACATTCCTCAATCTTATCAAATTACGATCTACCCACTCCCAAAAAACGAAAACTGATAATTAAGCCGCTCCATTCCACAATTTAGTCAATGTTCATTTAAACCATGCTATTCGCCATTGACTAATCGATATTAAAATATAAAATCCCTTGTTGTGAAAATGTAATCTAATACACATTTTTGGCGAGTTGGTTCATAATCTAATAATATTACTACTTTAAAAGTAAAAATATTAGTTTCCATACGCGTGCGCGATTTGTAACAGATCATTAGAAATATAATGCTATAATATATTGCGTTGTAAATAAGGAATAATAATAACCATACGATATTGATATGTATCGTGGTCAAGATTTAATTAAATATCTTGCCAGGTAAAATTGCAGATCGTAGGAGACAGTACAAAACAAACTAAGCAAAGGAATGCAATACTAACCAGCAGAGGCAAAATATGCGTTGGGTGCGGAATCACACTATTGACTTAATTAATGCCGCACTTTTTTGCACCATCGGCTGTTAATTTTTCTAATTCTATCAGAGTTGTGTAGTTCAAGTTCAACGTGGTGTCGTTAAACGTTTTTCATTACGTAACATTGAAAATATCAGGAAAATCATATATAGAACAATTTTTCTTCCTAAAAGTAAAAACATTATTGATAATGCATTGAATTTTAATACTATCGATACTTGATAAACAACAAAAGAAGATGAATCTTGGCAAATGAACAACTTTTCAAGCTGGATCGCAATCCCTCATCAGATTAAAATTGAGTCACTTCACTCACGTTGTTATTAAGTTATTAGTCTATACAATTACACACTGCACACACTGTATTGGAATCTTATATAAGTTCAAAAGTTATGACGCAACTAGCCCCCTGAGCCCCAGCCATCCTGTAAATCTTATTGTAAAACCTTCTGTGAGTATAATTCTAGGTTTATACAATACACATCTTGAATTGTCAGGAAACTCAGTGTAAGATTAAAACATTACGTAAGACACCTTGTAACTTAATTATCATTTTAAACACAACAATCGTGTAAGGCAACGTTAAATACACAACCTGAGAGTACTTAAAGGCTGTAAATTTGGAGAATTGTTCAGCTTAATTGCGGTGTTTTACTTTTTGTCTCTATATTTACCGCACATAAAAAAGGTTTGGGTGAGGTGCGGAATCACACTATTTGACTGATTTAGGTCGGCTCCAAAGTCCGAGCAACTATGTACCCCCTCCACACTTGTCGGTCAAGCAATACTGTCTGGATCTCCTGACTGCTGGGCAGTTTTGTATCCCTCTTCAGCGCCAGCATATCCAAGAATTTTACTTGTGGGCAAATCCCCTTTCTGGTGGACGTAATTTGTGGACGTCCCCAAATTGTGGCAATACTAATCTATTACACTGATTATTCTTCACTAAATGTTATCATGTATTTTTGATTTTTCCGGCGCTAACTGCACCTTTGATTCCATGGAATCAAAGGTGCATTTAGCGCCGGAAAACACATTACTGTGGAACTGGAGCGCAATATGATTAATTATCATCCATTTCAGTACGATGACACGGACGTTCGCGTTCGTGGTTCGGCGGGAAACATTCTTCGCTACACGTTGCATATCTCTTCCGTGCACACCGGCCGGCCCTTTTGGAGAGGCCAGCGGGCGAAAAAAGAAATGCAACGTGTATCAAAACATGCCCCACGGAACAAGTCACGGTATAACAGCTGCATCATTGAGTACCACAGCAGACGTAACGCCACTTAGACGCTTCCATATCTCCCGGACGGGGAAGTGGTGTAATTCGGGCATCTGAGAGGTCAGAAGCCCGAGCTTGACCATTTTTCTGTTCCGGGTGATATGTTTTCGATCGGACTGTACTATAGAATTTGGGCCGGATGCCTTACTTTAAATTATTACTTGTTGTCCTTTTCAAATGTTTCTTTTGACTTTGAGGCGGGCCGCGGGCGCCTTATATTTTTAATCTGTAAATCATAAATGCTTAAAACAGACTGTGCTGTGAAAGCTTAAGGTAGTTTGGCTGGGAGCGTTCATGGTTCACATATTACGTCGGCAGCCAAGTGGAGGGGGTTTGGAAATGCTGACGAATTTTGGCAAAAATTGTTGTTTCAAACCAATTTTATTGATAATAAAACTACGCTAATAATATGATTTCTTTAATAATAATATTAGTTATTAGTACTTCGGCGCGGTGAACTTAAGTCTGTTGACCAACTGTTTAAAATTAAATCAGCCTGACATTTAAATGTTCTCTTCCGTTTAACTTTTGGAACGGCTTAAATTTTATTATATGAATTGTTTAATTTATATTTGTTCAGTGTTCTCAACAACTGCAAACTGATTTTCAATAATACTTACCAACATCATCAAAGACTTTTATTAATCATTAATAATACAGCTGGTTGTCGAATTGCAACCCTTCCCAGCTCGGCTAGGCAGCTCGTATCAGCCCATAGTGCATCGCTTCACCCAGTACAGGTCCTGGCCATGTTGCATGTGCTTTTAGTTTTAAAGCGTACTCAGTACTACTACTAGTTACTACCTGATATGACACGCTTGTAAGGGTTCTGGTTAGAGCACAAAACAATTACGCTATTCACGCTATAATTGTGGTTTTTACGTTGCATGCTTGCTCTAATATAACTAAAGCCCTTAGCATTAATGTGCAGTGTCGACTAGACTGTCGTGCGCCCACGGTGTCGCAAAAGCACATAGTTTGACATACGTTGCATGCCACTTTTTGCGCGCGAAGCGCGTGCCGCCGAAGGATACGAAACATGTATCAACACATAGTCTAGGTAAAGTTTTACGGAAAAGTAAGACAGTATAGCGGTTTTTAATTTGTTATTCTTTTTCAAAAGTATTAAAATTACTTACCTGGTACACGCAAGTTTTAATGCGCGGCGCTCTTTTCAAGCTTCTTGTGAGTGGATCAGTGATCAGCAATACACTAGCAAGCTGCAAGCTAGAGCTTTGATGTTTGAAGGCGAGGACTTCGCCGCTTCAAAGAAGCTATCATTCTTTGTATCACGTCGTGACCCCCACGGTCGTTTCTGTTAGATGACTTTTAGTTGACCAATAAAACCCTTATTTGTCGTATGTACAAAACCTGTAAAACATAATACTTTATTACATAATATGTAATAGAATAACTTTACAACCGCAACCAAATTAAACCAATTCCAAATAAATACCTAATAACTAAACATTATAAATACTTACCGATTGGACGGTAGTGTGCTGCCACTGGTCTGCAACTCCCCAGTCCAATCGGTTATCCTGTTCCCTTGATGCAGTGATCTACCGAAGAGAAGCATTATTTTATGCGCGCGCGACCCAGTAGTGCATCGTGCTACAACATACAAGCAACAAGCCGGGCGCGCGCTACTGTAAGGGCTCTGGATAGAGCAACGTTGAAGGGGAAGCCGCGCACGTGTGCGGCGGGTCATGCAACGTATGACAAAGCATTTTTGCTTCGCTGCATGACCCATCGTCGATTGTTGATCGTTGCTTTGCTTCGCAAAGTAACGATCTCGATGGGTTGACCTCGTCAATCAAGCTAACTGTAAAAAGAAGACAAAACAACATATAGAAAGATATAAACTGCGCTTAATAATATCTAGAAAATAAAACGGCGCTTATAGTTTAGCTTTGAAAAAATGTAAACGAGTTTCATTTTGTCCGTTAATGCACTGGTTTAGCCGAATTGCCCGCCTAAATTTTGTAAATTCCTTTCGTAGTTTCTTCAATTTTATTTTGTGAAACTGATTCTGAATCACTCCTGCCGTAAGCAGTAAGGTAACTGTTTTTAATATAATATATTGTAGTGCAATGCACTACTGGGCCGCGCATTAAATAATTATTCTCTTCGGTAGATCGGCAAGATACACCACTGGGCTTTGCCGAGCTGCGAATAGTAAAGTTTCTTCTTCTCGAAATGTTATGAAGTTACGAAATAGCCCGATGGCACGTGCTACGAAGATGATAGCTGACTACAAAAAGAAGCCAAGAGCCAAGTCAAAAATCATATCAGAACACGATGCAGATTCGATCTGCTAAGAAGTACACTCATTGCACGGAGGGGAATCAAAGGAAGGTCAACAGCCCAGCATCTTGAACTGCAAGACGTATCCTTCAACCTCATCCCCCAGAAGACGAGCTTTGAGGTCTCCTAGATTTGTTTATGTAAATTTTGTAGATATTTTACTGTACTATTTTATATTGTATACAATTTTACGGACGAAATGATCCCAGGGGCGGGGGGACTCCCAACCCACCGCTTTGGCGGGTAGTTTCGATGCACCGATCACAAGTAAGAGCCACTTTGGTCTACTTGCTGTGAGGTGTCTCAGCTACTTGGGTTTTGTTTTTAAAAATCGAATTATTGTGTATATCTTACGTTTTTGTAAACTAGTTTCATCGTCGTTGTTGTTTCATTTTCTGCTCACAAATAGGGGCTTTGGCTGAATATCTCTTTTTTAGTTTTGCTGAACATGCTTTTGAGATTTGTTAATTACTCTTTCAGCAAAGATTTTGTTGCCAGCCATCAGCATCAAGTTCTAATCAGGATAGGGCCCCTGATCCATGGGTGTTCTTGGTAGCAGCTTTGATAGCTTTCCTGCATATGTCTCCAAGCAATCAACTTAATAACACCAGAATGTGTGTGTGTCTGTGTGTGTGTCTGTGTGTGTGTCTGTGTGTAATTTCCGAACGGTTATACAAAAAAAACGGTAATAGTTACGGGACTGGTTTTTTCGGTATAGTGCCGACAAAACTCTGACGAAGCCAATAAGCAAATTTTATAAAAATCGGCCGGTGGTAAGTGGTTTAATTGATGGTTTTGTACCACAAAATATGTTACATAAAATGGCTTGAGAAGAACGGCAAGAGTTACGGGGCTAGCTCTCTCTCTCTCTGCATATGTAGCGTATATATTACATGGCGTATATATTACATGGTCATATAATACTATAAACTTATTAGGGGAGGGAGTGCTCAAACGGTCTGTTTGGACTGTAGAGAGAGTTCATACTTTCATACGACAATGTAATGCATGTTCACAAATATGATAGGCTGGTGTGGTGCATGGTGTTAAGGGTTAATTTCTATTGATTATTGATTAAGAATTACTATCTTTTAAGCATACTATTGGATACGTGAGGGCACTCCGAATAGAATTGCTCGCCTAATCCGGGTTTTGACTCAGCGGGTAATTACTCCTACCCTTTTTAACTGCGGCAGTGAAATCCCGGCCGTAGGCCGGGTTACACTAGTATATAATATTGTGGATATCGGTTGTGAATCATCACACTGAGTTGCTGAAGGGTGTTTTTCCTGCAGTTTTGTCTTTCTGCAGTTTTGTCCTTGTTAGCTAATAGCGTTTTACATTTCATTCATCCTAAATATTGAAAAATTTTTATTATTAATATTGAGTTCTTCGGTAGCAGTGGACAATTTCTGTTACCCCTGTATTGTGCTCTGCCAATTGACTTAATTCATTGTATATGTTACATATACTGTTCTTTTACTAATTGTTACAACCGTTAATTCTTTCAATGATCATCATCGCATGTTTATAAGATATAATTCCAGGATGGATTAAATTGAGTCCATGACATACTATAAAAAGGTAAATCATGGAGACAGAAGAAATATCTTCTGTTAATTCTAATGGGTCTGCACCTGGGGTTGATCAAATTCTGGTACTAGAAACATCTCAACAACAAGTGAGTTACCAATTTGATAAGAAATTGAATTAATTATATCATTAATACAATTCTGATTCACTGTAGTATATGTTTTAGGATCTCTTATGTACTTTTAGAAGTACTTAATTCTTACCATTACATATTTCAGTCAATTGTTGAGAAATGCCAGGGTACCCAATGGGTATCAGAGGTAGAGGTTACTACAGAACAACCAAATCAAATGAAAATCATTGGTCAACACAATGAGTCTTTGGGGAATATTTCTCTATCACATGAACAACTTATGTCCATACTCGCTAATAAGACTGATGGAGGCATTGTCACTCTCCACTTTCAAAATGAGGATGGAGCAGTTAATCCAGTTCAACTCCAAATTGTACCAGAGGATCAAGTTTTTCAATCCACTGGCAATCAAGATCAGAGTAAATCTAATGGAAATTCTGTAAGTGTTATACTTATGATCCCAAACTAGATGATTATCAAGACAATTTTATTGGTTCTGCAACTGTTGAATGTAGTTGCTATTTGTAAAGTCACAAGTCTTGTGCATTAAATATGGCTATGTTACAAGCCCAGACAATTGCACACTGAATTATTGACTACTGCGCCTTGTACTTCTTTTTAATGTTTCACATTCAGATTCCTGAAAGTACAAGCTCAATGATTCCAGATGGAGAATCAAAAATAACTCCAGTTCTGCAAATGTCTCAGCCAGAGCTGCAAGATTTAACAAAGGATTGTGGTCAGAAAATAAAATCAATTGTTTTTAAACAAATAAAAAAGGTAAGTTAATATTTTAAGTTAAAACAGTTATATTATTAGTACCCTAAAATGCTCTAATAAACATTATTCAATAAGTTGGGATAATTGAAAACATAAGTTTTTCGTAGAATGGTTGAAATCCATAATCGACTTCCAGAAAAGCCAGTCTTATGTATCAAGGTTTAAAGTAATCGGGGCCCTGTTAGCCTTATCTTTATCAATCTCAGGTTCAAGAAAAAACAAACTGCATAACAGAGAATCCAAATTTACAAAAGCTTATCAGACGCAAGACCTACGTGGATTTAAAAGACCATGAAATAATGATACCATTAACAAATATCAACAAATCAGTACATCAATACAAATGTAACAGATGCGGGAAGGGTTTCACAACATCTGGTAATTTAAAGCGCCATATCTTAAATATTCACATGGAAGACAAATCAGGAACCAGTGAAATAAAGTTTTGTCAATACTGTCACAAAACGTACTCTCGTCAAGACTATTTGACACAACACATTAAGTCTGTACACGAGAAAGCTAACAAATACCAGTGTGAACAATGTGGTAAAACATTCACACAAAAGGGCTCTTTAACACGCCACGTGACTTCAGTTCACCAAAACATCAGAGAGTTTTGTTGCAAGCATTGCAATTATCAGGCAATCTCTTACAATGATTTGAAGAAGCATGCTGCTAACGCCCATTTCAATAGAGCGAGGTACGAGTGTTCTATTTGCGGGCACGGTTCATGGTGTGCCTCCATTATTAAGCAGCACATCATATCCCTTCACACAGTAAACGCAAAGACACAGTCTAGGAAGTGTAAGTTTTGTGGTGTCGTGATCAACCTGTCAAACGAGTCATTTCCGTTGCACGTGGCAGCCTGTAAAACTATGAGCAATAATGATGAGTCTGGAAAGAAAAAACGGAGGAAAACCAAAACTTCCCGGGACAATGATGAAAAAACAGAATTTCAACCAAAAGTGTTGAATGAGGATATACCTTGGGAGGCTCTGTGTAATCTAACAGAGGATATTCCTATGGAGACACCGCTAGTGAGAGATGATACTGACACCTCACCTCCCTTACCTTTACAAGAGACAGGTGGCGGATCTGCTGGTGGCAGTGCTGAGTCACATGGTGATGTAGTAGACTCTGTTATTGAAGGCTACATCAAAGTGCTGCAAGATACTGGCAATGATACCTGATTCATCAGCTATTCATCAGATCTTGGAGTCTATAGTCAGCTTTGAATTAATTAGTTTCATTAGGCTGATAATGATTTCGATTTTGTTATATCAATAGCGATTTTGTTAGTGATATAATTGCTATTTACTAAGATTTGTATGTAAATTTACTAACCTGACCTAGGTAAAATTAAGAATTGTTTGTTGTACAAGTGTGGAAATTTAATGCATTTCAAATATTTATATTACATTATTAAAATATTAAATTAAGCATCGACATGAAAGAGAAAAAGTACAACTGCAAGCGTCAGATTTGTTGTTTGATACAGTAACATCAAACAAAAAAATTTTTGGTGGCAGATCTCCTCGCTTTATATCAGTTGCTTATAAAATTTTTCATCACTAATCATTAATTTTATTTAAGTTGATTCCTTTTGACTTTCCATACATACTATATTGAGATTTTTGTTTCAGATTATTGTTTGCCATACTCAAAATCCTTGATATTGCAATTGCGTATTATTCTGTGTTTTCATACGTTCATCTGTGATATTCACTTAACTTTTCATATCAGCTTTATCGAAATTTTCAAACAACCAACTCTTCCACAGATTTTTGAGTAAATAACGTTTCAATCATTGATCTAAAAAGCCAAGACGTACTGATTTCATCACATTTTATCTTAGTGGTAAATTATTGTCCTGACTACAACTCACAAATTACCACTATAACAAATTATCACTATAACATAGGAGAAATGCCCCACAATTATTGTCCTGACTACAACTCACAAACTATCACTATAACATAGGAGAAATGCCCCACAACTACATTGTAACCCAGCTGCGTCTGCTGGACAGTTCTCACCAAGACGTGGGCATCAGTAAACTCAACACAAATCTAGCCAATCTGAGTAATCTAATGAAGGAACTGAGAAATAATAATCTTGATTTGTCCGAGATGGAACAACTCTACAAAGATTTCCAAGGTATTGTTCGATACTCTCTAGTGTGGTTTGCACGCATTGTTGAAAATTTATTCTCATTGTTTTGCAATACAATTTACTCTTTGTATTTTATTTTCCTCATCACATTTTCCTTATCAATTGAAACATTCTCATAAAATAAAGGACACGTCTTGTCCAGGAGTGCAGTACCGGTTAGAAGGGCAGAAAGAAGGGATAGGACGTGCTAAATCACAGGCACTCCAGGAGGCGTCCCCTAAAACTGCTATACAGAACCTGGGTAAACACTACAAGATGCTCTACAGAAACGCTCTGGAGAATGAACCTCAGCATCAGGTCAGATATATTTAAAGTTTTAAACTAGATAAACTTTACGTTAAACTTGTGATTAAACTTCACTTGTAATATCAGGATAGGAACATTATATGTTTGGAGGGGGATTCGTTTTAAAACATATAAGAGATACGAGAAGTTTGTTTTAGCAGGAGCTTTCACAATACATTTGTAAATCGTCTTCTTCTCCTTTATACCCTTTATATGTTTGTCGCATTGTTGTATTTGTGTTTAAAATTTCTGATGATTCATACGACCAAGGCCAAGGGAGAACTTTACCTGAGAATTCCGGTTTTTCTCAGTTGTATTTACAGAAAGATCAAAAATTTTAATCACTACCTTACAAGACATATTTATAACGTACGAAATGTGGCGGTTTTCCGAAAATTTCGCCATATTTTCGGACCGCCAAAATTTCGGTCGTCGTAATAAAATCCGTCGCATTATCTTTTAGCTTATTTCAATGACTGTGCCTTCACTGCTTTATTTTGTTTCTAAAAAGTAATATCAAGTAAAATAAATAAATAAATTCTGGCATCTTGGGACAAATTATCACCACACCAATGACGAATTGAATGTCAAGCAATACAGTTTAAATTTGCATTAAAATACATGTATGTGCTAACATGAAAGTCTTACAGTCTTAATACAGACTAAGTTTGAACATGATTTTACCGAATTTCAGAAATTGCCTTACTGCTTACTGTCACAAAAAATGATGAAAAATACCCTTATTTTCTGTGACGTCCGAAATTTGACGGTTTTTGTTCAATTTCGCCATATTTTCGGACCGCCAAAATTTCGGTCGTCGCAAATTAGGCCGCCATAAATATGTCTTGTAAGGTAAACATAAACTTTACTTATAATATCAGAACGGTTTACTTCTTTTCCGCAAAATGTAATGTTACGGTGTTTATTACGGTGTTTGTTACGGTTTATTCTCACACAAAAAACATATTCAGGGAGTAGCACTACCCGCACCACGACAAGCTGCCAGCGCAGAGGACGAATCAGCGCACGAGCGACAGCTACAAGACGAGCTTGAATCGGAAGGAGTTGTGGTTGCAAGCGCTAAAGTGTCCCTCGCTTGTCCCATATCTCAGACACGCATGGTCCACCCCATGGTTAACGCGCAGTGCGGTCACACCTACGACAGGACAGCGGTTAACGAGCACATCAGACGATGTCGCTCACTTACTGTCAAGTGTCCTGTGGCAGGGTGTGTTGGTTTTGTTAACCAGGCCAATCTTAGACCTAACAAGAAAATAGCGGAACTTTTGGCACAGGACAGTGGTAGCTGAACAAGGCTTTTAGTGTCCATCGTTGTTTTTTTTTAATGTGCAGAACTAACAAGACCGACAGTTGTTGTTTTAATATTTCAATTATCTTTTATTTATTGTTTACTTTTTTTGATCAATTTGGACTTTATTGGACGATATTTTAGGGATTTCATCAGAGGGTTCGTTTTATACCTCGTTTTTAATTTGGTCATTTTACATTTATTCTAATTTAATATTTACCTTTTTCATAACCTACGTTCATCATTCATATAGCTTGTTACTAGTTAGTTTGCTTTTTCGACGAAACCAAATACCTACATTATTTTACGTTTTACATTCTCCATAATTAAGTAAGGTTATCCTTTGCCAGCTCAAATAACTGATCAATAGTACTAGTTAATTAATTAATTAATTAAATAGTAATGGCAGGTAGACAGCTATTCGTTGTAACTGGTGCGAGTGGAGGTTTTGGTTCTGCTATCCTCCGACAGATAAACGCACTGTTTGGTGACCGGGCCGTTATAATTGCTTGTGCGAGGAACAAATCTAAGTTAGACGAGGTGATCACTGGTTTTTCTGCCCAAGTGAAACATATCTCTGTGGAATTTGGAGAACGTGAAGGGATAAAAGAGCGGTGTCAGGCTATATTTGATTTGTGTGCTGGTGATGGTTTTCAGTCGGTTTATTTGTACAATAACCATGGGTTTGGTGGAGATGTGAGCAAACTTGCACAGGACTTTGATGATAGCACTGAAATTGACGATTACTTTTTCCTGAACTTAACTTCATTCCAAGTGCTAACTTCTGTGTTTTTAAAGAATTTCCCCGGAATTCCGCACACTTGTGTCAACATCTCTTCACTATGTGCTATTGTTGCTTTTCCTTCAATGTCTCTTTATTGCACTGGTAAAGCTGCAAGACTCATGATGTACAAGGTTTGTGTCCATTATTCAGCTAGCCATGAATAATGATATATGTTATTAATGGTCGGATATGGTTATTTCCAGCTTGTTGACTGGCAATAACGGTGAAATCTAAAACTACGTATTACTTTACAAACTCGTATATAGGAAATGATTACTTATAAATTATAAGATGTAAGCTTTTCAAATGAGTAAATTATAAATTAGTATTAAACATTCTCTTGTCTCCACAGTGTCTGGCAGCAGATAACTCAGATGTAAAAGTGTTAAACTATTCGCCCGGGCCAATGTTAACCACTATGACAGAGGCATACCACACCGACAAGATGAAGAACGAGGAAACTAGAGGGAAATTCAAGAAAATGAAGGAGGAAAACTGCTGGGTTGACACTGATGAGTCTGCAAAGAAAATGCTGGAAATTGTTAAAGATAATAAGTTTACCTCTGGTGAACAGATTGATTTCTACGATTGTTAGGATAGATTTTGATGGTTTTTGATGGTTTTGTAATGTAGCGAGATGGTAATTGTAATGAGAATGTAACTTTCTCATGTTTCAATTTCAGTTTTAAGTTTTTTAAATTTTGAATCCAGGCAATAAATGTGTAAGCTAATTTCACTTTTTAAATTTTAGGGTAGGTACTAGATTTAAATATTTTGTGGACTGTTTAATTTTAATTGACATATTTTATTGTAAAGAATGGATAAGTTTTATGCATACTTTGACTAAAGAATGTTGTTTAATGGAATGTTGTTCAATGGAATGTTGTCTGTAAGGTGAAAACTTCTTGTAGACCACATATTTTATTCATGATAACATATAATAGACAGTGTTAGAAATGCTCTGAGCGAAATAAATAAATTAAATAACTTCGCCCAGAATCGGTCGTTTTTTAGGAATTTTTATTGTTCACCCATTATTGATGATAACCAGTGTTTTTATCGAAATATTTTCGTACATCTTTATTACGTTATGATATGCCTTTGAGTTAACTCAATTTATGAAGTAACAACAAACTTGGGTTGAAAATGCTTGTGCGATCGTGAACACTGTTGCTACATATCAGTGGGCGTCTAAGTAGAATTATATATAATATTAATCAGTACAATTTTTATTTTATAAGCATTTATTATTAACGTACCCTAGCTGAATCTGCTAGATAATTTGACTTGATTTGAGGAATGAGGACGTAATACATTAAAATATAATAATTAATAAAATAATAATAATAATAAAATATAACGTTAATATCTCAGTAAGAAGGTAGGATGGCTAACAATGACAGCTTCAAATAACCGCACAGGAGGACAACAGCAAAGACAACTTTCAGAAGCAGCTTTACGAGCCCGCGAGCGCAATAAGGTACGTCAGCGAGAGCGGCGCAAACAGGAAACAGAAGTAGAGCGTGCGGTGCGGCGCGAGATCAACAAGGAAAGAATGAGACAATTCAGGCAGAGTATGACAGATTATGAGAAAGAGATGGCCAGGCAGCAGAATAGAGTGAGGCAAAACGAGAGAAGAGCCAAGTTGAGGGCCGATAGAGAGGCACAGAGAGCCAGGGGAAGTTGAACTAACAGTTACAGGACCGGCCTGAAAGATTGGCAGTTGGGTCGCAAATTCAATAGTCTTTAAGGCTCGATTGCTGTGTCATGAGTGTGATCCAACTGACAAGCTTTTTGCCGTGAACCTATGATATTAGTAATCGAGCGATGTTTATTTATGAATCAATGCCTATTGCTTAATTCATGCTTGATTAGCAATGTGAGCATGCTTTATAAAATGTATGAATAGTGAACACTGGATAGAGTATTCCAGTATTGTTATTGTAAAAACTCACATCTTGTTTTTGTGCTAAAGCATTGTATTGAGAGAATTGTCCCACTGATGCAGATTGCAGATGTTATCATTATTATATTTACACTATATTTATCTGCCTAGATTTATTAACTTGCAAATTGACAATCATTTAAAGATTTAATCTTTAACTTTGCAAAGATGAGAATGTTAGGAAAGGTTTTCTTTTATTCGACAAATTTTCGAAAACGTTTCACTGTCTTGTGGTATTGATACTTGATGGTTGCTGATAGGGATTTAATGCATTTTCAGTCCCACATCTCTGGTTTTACTTTTAGTTTGACCAAACTTTATAAAAATTTACCTGAAATTTAATATTCAGTCTCTAAAGTTGACGCATTGTATCTCATTTTCTCCAATTAATCATTGGGAGGTTGAAATGTTTTCTAATCTCTACTAAATCTACAGTAGCAAGTTACATGGAAATAACCTGAAACAGGTAAAACACGACAAGATACAACATTGACTCAGTGAACATTACTCCGTTTTCTAAACAAGTTTTAAGTTGAACTCAACAAAGTGATACCATGCCTACCAAAAGCCGTGCTCTGAGAAAGAGAATCAACCAGATTATGGAGGATCTTAGGTAAGAAATTAGGAATGAAATATTATCCAATCAATTACTTGATGAACATCCCCATTTTAATGGTGTTCCAAGAAAATATATTGACCTATTGTAGCTGGTATAAAATTGAAGAAAAATATTCGCTGGCGCAGGACTATGATCAAGATTATGATTAATTGATTCATTCTTTTAATTAATTTGTCCCAGGTCGAAGGACCCTAGAAGACTGTTTCGTGGCACGTCCAAAGTGAGCAAGATACTACGTGCTCCTGCTAAGGAGCTCGAATGGGATAGTGATCAGGTTATCGATGCTGTGGTCAAGGTGGGTACCCAATCAATTATTAAATTAGCGTATTTTCGGCCTGGGTTTACAAGTTATTTATCCTTACTCGCGGTCTTGTATTCATTAATGAATATCCGCAGGCAGGAGCCGTCCCACTACTTGCAAGTTTCCTGACCCACATCGAGGACCAGAAGTTGCAAAGCGAGGCTGCAAATGCGCTCGCTAACATCAGCGCCGGGTCAGCAGATAACACACGTGCTGTGATTGATGCTGGAGTGGTTCCTATTGCTACCTTGCTGCTTGAGTCTCCCAGCATCGACCTTCAGGATCATGTAATTATCCTTTACTAATCAATTAATTAAGTATTCGGTATAATTGATATAATTATGTAGCCGTGTATAATACTTTTTGTTTCTACAATACACACACTTACACTTACACTTACACTTACACTTACACTTACACTTACACTTACACTTACACTTACACTTACACTTACAGTTTACACTTACACTTACACTTACACTTACACTTACACTTACACTTACAGGCCGCCTGGTTGTTAGCTAATATTGCTTGTGAGAACTGCTCTTGTGTACTCCACGCGGGCGCGCTCGCTCCACTTCTCAGATTACTCGGTATTTGGATTCTGACTTTTTTATGATTAAAATTATCACAACGCTATAATTTTACAAATAGGAGCCACATCGACGTATATTATTCCTTCCAATCGACGTATTCTATGTGATTAATAAATAATTGTCCTACCATTCAATTTGGTAGCTGCAATAATATGTATCTAGTCAATTTAACATTTTAAAATTTAAACTTTTATGTAATTAACTTTCCACAGATTCGCTGTGTGAGAGCACCAAGTCAAACAACACATCAGAACAGTCCTTGATAAAAACAGCTACTTGGTTACTGTCAAACCTTTGTCAGTACACTGACTCATTCGAAATTGTAAGTATGTCAGTATTACTTATACTAGACAAATAGTAACCAACAAGATGGGGTTTTCAACCTCTCGAAAATACCTTATGTTTCTATCCCAAAACATAAAATCACATTATAAATCAAGAGGCTTGCATATAATGAACATATTGACACGGGTGCAGAGTTGAGTCTGTACGGAACCTAGTAGTTTCAGATCCTTGTTTAACTTGCCGTACAGCAAGGTCATCCACTACTTTAGCCCGGCGAGGCACATAACTCCCTCTACAACTCCATGACAAATGTTTCATATATACTAGCCGAGTTCACAAGTTATATCCTTGTGTTTGAGAAGAGCTCGTTAGAACTGCTAAATGCTCTTAGAATTTTACTCCCATTTGTTCTTCTACTTATTTAACTTTTGTTATCTACCAATATTACATGTTTTAAATCTCCAGGTGAAGGAATGTCTGCCAAGACTCGCCAAGCTGATCAAGTCAAACAATGAGGCAGTGTTGCGGGACGCGTGCTGGGGTGTAATGTACATGTGCAAACTTAGTATCCAGGAGGTCCTGGACTCTGGTGCTTGTGAGTTTCATCTTTAGTTTTGTTTTCTGATGAATTTTACAAGTATTATTACTGAGGGCGCAAGAATTTATTTTAGTTAATACTCACTAAAATGTTACTATACTATAAATTTTATGATGTTTTGTCCTCAAATGCCGCTAAATTTCTCAGGTGACACTCTGGTAAAGTTACTGATGCACAGTTCGGACGATGTCACGTGTGTGGCTCTTGAAGCACTGCTCGCTATTTTCACCAACGGAAACTTAGAGCAGAAAAAGGTCTGCCAAATTATAACGACTAAACAATACACAATGTAAACTCTATCATTTGAAATGTTTTAAGTGCACTTGATCATTGCAACTAAATTGTACTGATATTGTACTAATATTTTACTTATATTGTACTAATATTATACTTATATTGTACTACTGTTATACTCACATTTTACTATCGCAGTACGCAGCCATTACCTGTAGGGCTTTGCCGAGACTACGGTTTCTGCTCCACAACAAAAGAGAAAGAACGAGAGAGATAGCATGTCAGGCCCTTTCTCACATCGCCATTGGTTCTGTAGAGCTCGTTCAGGTTAATAACTGGGTATTTTGGGCTTGATAATGCAAATTGCTTAATTTCAGAGAAGAATAATATGATACTTTATGGAACTAAGGTACAGACTGCAACTGCCAATAAAAATTAACTTAAATTGTACCCCTATCTTCAGGGCTTACACGATGCACAAGTATACCCCTGTTTGGTTCATCTGTGTATGAGGCAATCGCATTCCAGAGGCAGTTGGCTGACTTGGAAGGAGGCTGTCAAAACGCTGTCAAATACTCTAACTACATCTATGTTTAACCGTCAGATAATAAAGTGAGTTTTTCACATCCTCAGTCTTTTAAACCGGTTGCTCTTTTTTCTTTTCTAAGTTTAGTTATCGGGCGAGCCCTATAATGTAGCCTTCTGGTGAGACGTCTAGACCAAATAGATGGTAATATATGGTACTTCTCCATTATTCGTCACCACAACCATAACAGTGCTCCTTGCGCGGGCAGAAATTTGCGCGGCGCAGCTATTGCTAGTTTTCTTTGTTCAGTTGTTATGAAAGTAACAAATGCTATGCAATTCACAAAGCCACGTTATTACATATTGCTGTATCGTTAACTTACAGGTATTTAGTGGGACTAGGCGCTGTGACCGCCATTGTGGACTCTCTAGTGGAAATAGTTCGGAACCAGGCTTCAATACACCTCTGTTTTGATGTGGCTCTTCAGTTTATAGAACTTTTAGTTGCAGCTGGAGCAAAAGACGCAGAGGTTTGAAAATTCAATGAAGTTCACATTTCTAACATTGATTGTTTAAGAATGGTTTAAAGTACTTACCGCTCTCCAGGTCTTACTTTAACTCTTGATGATTCAGGAGCGAGGCGATGGAGTGAACGATTACAGAGAATTTCTTGAAGATACGGGAGTACCAGAAATAATCGCTGTCGCCGCGCTCGACAGGGTGTGTAGATCGGTAATTTAATTGACATTTAATTGATTGATTTGGTGTGTCACCTAGGCTGCTTCAATGTTAAATTATTGGTTCCGATTATTAATCTACTGATGATGGTATCGTCCTGTTATAATCTATACTTTTTTGTTTTCTCTTTTCACCAATCAAATAGAACTCTAAACTATGGCGGTGTATGTCAAATATTCTGTATTCGGTTATTGCTGTAATGATTTTTTATCAATGTCCTTCTCCCCTTTTATTTGTGACAATCGTGGAACTAATTATTGATTTTAGAGCAGTCCTTGTACGATTAATTTTATTTCAGGTTTGCAGGGATGGCATTGGTAGCGGAAGTGAGTCTTCAACCGAAATAGGACCAATAGCCAACGAGTCAGCACACCAAGCTGCTCGAGTTGCCAGTCTGTTCACGTACAGCTCACCCGAGGGCTGCTACGTTCCAACCCTCAAAAGACTGTGTCGGAGAAAAGTCTTCCAGAGCGAGTGGAAAGAGGTAAACTTGATAACTTCTTTAAACTGTGTTCAATGAGATTTAAGGCTTCATTTCCATAAAATCTGCACAATTGCTATAAATTATTCGGATATATTTCAATTTACTTTAAACCCAGTGTACCTTTTTAGGTTGCTCAGTTTGCATTGTCATGTCCACTTCGCTGCTTCATGGTTGGTCTCCGAGCCGAGGATGCTGAGCTGGTTACTGGTATTCTTCTCTGTACTGTTAAAGAGGCTCTATCTGTCAAGTACACCGGAGACAACGCTTTCTTCTCAGGTTAGCCAAATCTTAAAAAATAGAATATTTTGTTTTCGATACGTTGCTACGATACCTGACTCGATTGCTACAGCAAACTCAAATTGACAATTCCCACCAGGTCGGTACCAAGAAGCAGCTAAAAGATACAGCGAGGCACTGCAGCTGATTGAGAGTTTAGACAGTGAGAGTTTTGAGCAGCTTACTCTGACAGTTCTCTTAAATAGAACAGGCTGTAATATGAAGCTATCAATGTGGCCTGATGTTATCCAGGATTGTATCCGTGGATTGGCAATACATCCTAAACATCCTAAGTTTTTACAGGTGAGTTTCTAAATTTAACTATTATTAGATGTACTTAAGAATTTTCTCCTACGGTTAATAATTTCAAATAACAAGTACGTTTTCAGTCTGTATCTTTAATCTAACAAGTATTCACACATTTCAGATGCGGGCATCAGCCTACGAAAAGCTCGGGATGTATCAAAATGCTCTGGATGATTACAATTTAGTGAAGACAGAAGAGAGTGAAGCAGCCAGGATAAAGCTGAAAGAGAGGATGGACTCTCAACAGCTGCTTGCCACCCAACAGCAGCTTCTCAACAACCAGCAACTTTTAAACAGCCAACAGATTCTGAACAACGCCCAACTTTTATCCAACCAGCAGTTCACAGCGGCCCAACAACTCGCTGCAACTCAGCAGTTGTTCAGCGCCCAAACTGCTGCTGCCGCGTCTTGTAGCGCCATGTTCAACACACCGACAACAGGGGCTGGCATCATGCCAAATACCTCCCAACTCCTGGCCAACCACCAGCTCCTGCTGAGCCAACAGCAGTTAGCCAACTTATCTTTGCTGGACCACCAACAACTGAACAGCACGGTGCAGCAACAGTTAACTGCAACTACTCAGCATGTTATCAGTACCACTCAAGTAACCACCACCACTACTACTATAGCTCAACAAAATATGTGGGTATTTTCAGGAGTGGCACTCTTTTTGTCCTTGTCTCGGTGTTTGTTTGTTGAAACATTAAGGTTCGACTTAGTACAACGGTAAATTGAATAATAAATAAAATAGTGCCTCTAATTAATAAATTACTAACTCTAGTCCACAATTGCAGTGATCCGGCGTCCGTAGCAGCGGTCATAACTCAGCAGCAACAATCCCAGCAGCAGATTATTCAGCAGCACGTGCAACATCACCAGGTTAGCTTTCTGATTATTCAGCAGCACGTGCAACATCACCATTCACCAGGTTAGCTTTCTGATTATTCAGCAGCACGTGCAACATCACCAGGTTAGCTTTCTGATTATTCAGCAGCACGTGCAACATCACCAGGTTAGCTGTCTGATTATTCAGCAGCACGTGCAACATCACCAGGTAAGCTTTCTGATTATTCAGCAGCACGTGCAACATCACCAGGTTAGCTTTATGATTATTCAGCAGCACGTGCAACATCACCAGGTTAGCTTTCTGATTATTCAGCAGCACGTGCAACATCACCAGGTTAGCTTTCTGATTATTCAGCAGCACGTGCAACATCACCAGGTTAGCTTTCTGATTATTCAGCAGCACGTGCAACATCACCATGTTAGCTTTCTGATTATTAAGCAGCACGTGCACGGTGCAACATCACCAGGTAAGCTTTCTGATTATTCAGCAGCACGTGCAACATCACCAGGTAAGCTTTCTGATTATTCAGCAGCACGTGCAACATCACCAGGTTAGCTTTCTGATTATTCAGCAGCACGTGCAACATCACCAGGTTAGCTTTCTGATTATTAAGCAGCACGTGCAACATCACCAGGTAAGCTTTCTGATTATTCAGCAGCACGTGCAACATCACCAGGTTAGCTTTATGATTATTCAGCAGCACGTGCAACAGGGGGGGGGGGGGGGGCCAATGGCAAAAATGGAGAAAATGGAGAATTACTCATAGGTTTTTCCATTTTCTCCATAGAAATAGTCTCCATTTTATGCCATTTTATGCCATTGAAAACCTGAAAAATTTAGAATTTCGAGAAAAATTATTTTAAAAAAAGATATTTTCGGCCAATAATGAACAGGGTATCATGAAACATGGAGAAAAGTGGTTTTTAGAAAAAATTTGAAAAAATGTTGACTTAGAAAATGTTCGGTCCGAGTCATTTTCGATACGTACCTCCCGTATCGAGAGCTCCCGATTCCGAGCTCGTGTTGCAAAGGGGAGGCCTGCCTTCCGAGATCGCATTACCTCGTGTCCAAAATTGTGTATCGAGGGGAAGGTGTGGACTTCGAAAAACCGAAAAAATATTTTCGGCAAATAATGAACAGGGTAGCATGAAACGTGGAGAAAAGCGGTTTTCAGATAAAATTTGAAAAATTTTGACCGACAAAATATTTTCGGCTTATAATGAACAAGGTAGCATGAAACGTGGAGAAAAGTGTTTTTCAGAAAAACTTTGAAAAATTTTGACTTAGAAAATTACCCCTCGGTACACAATTTTGGACTCGAGGCTTCCCCCTGGTAATGCGATCTCGGAAGGCAGGCCTCCCCTTTGCAACACGAGCTCGGAATCGGGAGCTCTCGATACGAGAGGTACGTATCGAAAATGACTCGGGCCGAAAATTTTCTAAGTCTAAATTTTTCAAAGTTTTTCTAAAAACCACTTTTCTCCACGTTTCATGCTACCCTCTTCATTATTAGCCGAAAATATTTTTTTGGTTTTTCGGTTTATCGAAGTCTACACCTACCCCCGATACACAAATTTGGACTCGAGGCTTCCCCCTGGTAATGCGATCTCGGAAGGCAGGCCTCCTCTTTGCAGTGCGAGCTTGTTTCGACTTTCGAGGATGTAGGTCTCACTTCTCAGTGCCTATTACTCTCCCCTATTACTCACTCCTACTGTAGCCTGTAGAAATAACTTTACACTAGGCTTGAGTAATTATGAGTTTGCCTGAAGTGTGCCTCTACTAACCTAGTATAAGCATCTAGTAGCCTACTATGAGCTGACAAAATTCATGGCATAAAATGGAGAAAATGGAGAATTACTCATGGGTTTTTCCATTTTCTCCATAGAAAAAGTCTCCATTTTATGCCATTTTATGCCATTTTATGCCATTTTATGCCATTGGCCCCCCCCCCCCCCCCCCCCCCCCGTGCAACATCACCAGGTTAGCTTTCTGATTATTCAGCAGCACTTGCAACATCACCAGGTTAGCTTTCTGATTATTCAGCAGCACGTGCAACATCACCAGGTTAGCTTTCTGATATAGAAAACGGAGTTCTCTTGGTATTTAGTGTATGCTAGTCAAGCTCTAGTCACGAAGCACGAACGGCAGGGCGTACCGTAAGGTAGAAATGAAACGAGTATATTAAAATGAATAATTAATTAAAAGGAAAAGTAATACAAAGTGAACGTCAACAGATAAAACTTCCAAGTGTTCGCTCCAAGCGATTGACGTGACTATAGATCACACGACGTGTCTAATCACAAATGGTAGTGCTCAGTAAGACTGGCTACCGTCAATTCGAATCCCTTAAAATGATTAAGGGGCAACTAAGAAGTGAGCTCTCCACATCCGGCTCTCCGGGTATACTCTCAAAACTCGTCACGCTACACTGCGTGACGGCACAACGCATCTGCTTGTACCACGTGACACGCCGTCTCGCCAATGAGCACTCCACTAGCAGTCACGCTGTGGTCGCGAGGACCAACCACAGGCCTGGCTGTAAGTCAGGTGCAAAGTGAGCGGACGGCTCGTTTCAGACAGTTAGTCTGACAGTAGTTCTGCCAGCCAACCGACTTACACTCAAAATGTGTAACTCCCAAATACGAACATATAAAAACATTGGTTATTATAATACCCGGAAACACATACTAAATTCTACGTCCCTTAAACGTTATACTAAAACTAAGATATCCTAAAAGATATCTCTAAATACCATATTACAACATCTCTACCCAAAAATTTTTTTCGAATATTTTAAAACAATAAAATAATCGCCCTATTCAAAATTTAAATTTCAATGCTCCCACGCATCAAAAGTCCAAAACTTAAAATAAGTCAAGTCTCAAAATAAAATACACGGCCCTAACCCTGTGCATTAAATTTAAATCCTCAAAATCCTAAAGTTAAAACTGAAATTGACTTCCACAAATCTTTCAAAACTTTCCAAAACTTCAAATACTTCTCTTTGCACCAAGTTGTAGAGTCTTTGGTGTAGAGTCTTCATCATTAGATAGAGATGTATCGGATCTCTAAATCGTCCTGGACGAGCAAACAAAGAAGTCAAAATAAATTCGAAAGTTTCTACGTTTCCGCCACTAAAGCAGCCCTGAACGGTTCGTGTTGCGAGTAAAGATCCTAATATCCCTATCAGTACTGTTCTGAAAGATACACGTGTTAAGCCTAAGTAAGGTATTAATATCACCGCTAAGTACTAAATGGAAAGCCTAGCTAAATACGTAAGATATTACTGTACTAAAACTAGATTCCAAGGTATTAGTTACTTCCCTATCAGGTCATCTCCCCGACTTCTACTGGTTCAAGAGCTTCATAAGAACATCCGTAACAAGTCTAACTTTATCGATTCCTAGACGATCAGGTTGTCTCCGTTCCTCAGGTCTCCTAGTGTTATATCTGCGCTCCTCCCTCGGAGGGCTCTGTCTCCCTAGATCTATAGGAGAAAGCGATCCTGTTGTGTCAATGTCGTGCTCCTCAGCATCATGTGACCTAAAACTGTTAGCACCTATCGTTCCTTCACTAACAATCGGACTCGATGATCTTCTAGCGGCCGATCTCTCTCTAGCTGGAGTGAAGAACTCTGCAGAATTATCAACTGTTTCTACACTATCGCCTGAGGGAATGTTATGTGTGAGAGGTGTTACAGTACTAAAACTAGGATTAGTAGAATTCATATCTAGTTGTGCAGGACTATTTACAACCCTAGGAGTGGAACTTAAACTAGGTTGTTTATGAATGCTAACTGCACCATCCCTCTCCGGACGAAACCTCTTCGGATGAACCTCTCTTCTCCCTGCTACAACTGGTGCTCTTCTCAGTTGAAAATCTATCTCCTCTTCACTGTCACTATCGGAATAATCTACAAATCGGTCCGATGATTCCATTTTCAACTCAGCTTCCTTGCTCACAGTTTTCGGCACTGTAGGACTAGTCTCTAGTTTCTTAGAAAATCTGTTCCTGACATATCGTTTTAACTTACCAATGTTAAACACCTTCTTCTCTCCATCAGGCAAATCTAGACAGTACAAGTGATCGTTTATCTTCCTAGAGATCTTATACGGGCCAACCCAACGGGGACCGAACTTGTGCTTAGGACAATTTATCAAAACAAAAGCTTCCTCACCTTCCTCAAAGAATGGTCCCTTAACGTGTTTATCGTGATATCTCTGTGCATAGCAAAAATCACGCTCAGCTTGGACCCTCACCTTCCTGGTGATAAACTTGAGATTCTTGTACAGCTCGTATGCTTCAACATCAAACTCATTCTCCTTCATAGGCTCTAGCTCGAAATCCTTACGATTCTCAGCTAGCAGGCTTAACGGTGTGTTTAACTCACGACCAAACACCAACCTGTTGCTAGAATAACCTGTGTGCCGATTCCGCAATGAGTTGAGTACAAAGACTACTCTAGATAACCAAAGATCCCAATCCTGGTAGCGTCCCGGTGGTAAGCTGGTTCTCAGTGCAGTATTCAACCGACGGTTAGCTCTCTCAACTCTACCTGTACTACGAGAAACGTACGGTTGGCCATGAATGTACTTGCAATCTAATGCTTGAGCTATGGTCTCGAAATACTTAGCTCTAAACCCCGGATGATTATCAGCCATCATGAACCTAGGCTGGCCAAAACGATCAATCCAAAACCTACGAATCAAGGACACGCTCTCCTTAGCTGTCTGGGTCTTAGTAGGAATAGCTACCACATAATTTGACCAACAATCAGTTATAGTCAAAATATATTTATAACCTCTAGGTGTAGCACCAACCTTCTCAGGAACTATATGATCGAAACAAATTGCTGAGTTAAAGGAGTGGAATAATATGTGCTTGAGGGGTGCCTTATTGTACGCCTGAGGTGGCTTACTAGCTGCACACTTGCAACATGCTGCGATCCACAATTTGAAACATTCACCCATTTTCGGCCAGTAGAAATGTCGTTTACAGACCTCAAGACAATTTTCTACTCCAGCATGTGCGG